ACAACATTGCTCGGGAACACGCACATGAAGAATGGTAAGTTTTTTTTACTTTTTAGAAAGCTTTTAAGATATTCTTTCAATTTTACTGACAAGGAAAATTTAGAGGATGTATAGAGTGTCTTCTTTTACGATTTAGTATTCATTAACGCGGCATTTATATACGTAAAAATTTTGAACGAAAACTATTACATATCCAGTAAAAACAAAGAACTACTTACCATAATGCGACAATTTGCTCTAGAAAATCTGTCACCGAAAAACGCACGTGAATTCCGCAAATAGGTAGATTAAGCTATACGTGATAGGTTTAAATACCTAGATAGCTATTTTTAGCTATATAGGTGGATCTAGTGATTTTCCTGGACCTGGTACCTGAGAAACAAATGTTAGCAAGTCCTTGGAGGCATTCCTAGATGAAATACCAAGTATTTCCTCTCTCTTTTCCATGATGGATCAATCTGAAATACTTTGATAAAAAATTGTTTAGGCTTATTCAGTTAGATCTATTTGCTTTTTCTGTTTACCATTTTGTTTACCATGTTTACAAATGAGAATTTCATTAAATCTGTTTGGTAAAACGTTTTGAGTCACTACATGCCTTGTAATTCAATTTATCATTTTCTAACATGCATAATTTATGGGGGAAAAAAGAACAGGAAAGTCAACACTTACCAATATTTAGTGAGTAATAATTTAGTCTTCTTTCAAAATTACGCGCTTATATTATTCTACTTCCGGTTGGGATATATTAGATATCGAGCCCGGTCGCATTACATTTTACCACTAGTTACACGAACACTGTCGCTCCACATTTCTCCTCTTTATATTAACCATGATTAAATCATCTTTCAAAAAACCTTCTCACCTATTCGGAAAAACATAAGCCTCGAAACCCAACACTTTTTTTTTTGCAAAGATAGACAAAGATAGGCATAAAACATTTGGGCGTAAGTTTAGCTCCCCCCCCTTCAACAAGCACAGTCATTGGAGTTAAGATAAGAAATGGGTAATGGGTAGTGTTTACAAAAAAAGAGGATTTTCGTGTTTCGAAAATCTACACATTTCACTTTCTTTCTTTTCTTTCTTTCTTTCTTTCTTTCTTTTAAATTTCTCTACTTTTTTTTTTGCTTGTCAAGTTTTTTTTTGTTTTGTTTTGTATAGCTTTGAATTTTTTCTATTTTTCTCTTTCTTTCACTTACCCCACCCCACCCCACCCTACCCCTTTCAATTTGCTTCCGACCTTAATGAAAAAATACACAAGCCAAAAAAAGATAAATAAAAATAAATAAGTAAATAAATAAAAAACAGATTTTAAAGTCGTAAAATGCATGTTGTCATTCAAAGAATTTTTTTTTTTTTTTTTTGGCCTGCAGGAATTAAAAGATCTATTCCCTAGCAAAATTGAAATATCTAATACTTAAAAAATATGCATAACATAATTAAATTTTTCAAGACTACAGTACTGTCTATATAGAGACTTTGAAGAATTTATACTTACCCCTACTCATAGGTGTCGGAAGCAAATTGAAAGGGGGGGAGGGGGCTAAATCAATACAAAAAGGTAAATTCAAATTTTCAATGCCCATATTATGTCTATTTTTGCAAAAAAGTGGGAGGAAGCTAAGCCCCCCCCCCCCCGGTTCTGAAGCCTATGCCACTCTAAAATACATATATCTTAATAAAGATGGGGTAATGAGTTGTAATCGGCAATGCAGCATTTCATCTTCATATATTCCATAAGCAATGGCTCTTCCATCGTACAAATCAAGAAACCAATATTTAATCAACGTAGCTCATTTTTAATTTTCATTAATTTAAACAAGTATAAATATAAGCAATAAGATTTCTTTTGATATGTTTGTTAGTAAGGGAATTAACATCTCATCTATTGTATATAAGTGCCGACTATAAACATGATAAAATAAAAATTTATAAATAAATTCTTGACTTATCTATTGTATTCTGTGAGGAAGATTATTTATAATATCATCCATATCTGCGTGCGGACTACATGTACGGTACATAAATGAACACACAAATCGTGTTACATATCTAACAGTGTTAAAATCGTGTTACCAATACATTTCGTGGTTACTCAATATTAATGAAATTCGTGGGTATCTATTTATATATGAATCTATATTTAGTTTTGGGGATGTGATCAAGTACAAGAAATGACCTCCTCATGAACGAGAAGAATGAAAGCAATCCACAAAAATTACCCCACGCATTTTGATGATTCTTCAGTAAAATCTTTTTTTTTTTCGGTAATTCAGTTTTCCAATAAAGTAATCATCATACTGAAAGAAAAGGACCTGTCTAAAATGATTTAATGATGTTTAAATTTTTTTTAAATAAAGGTTAAAAGTGAAATTTTATTTGGATTTGAGTAAAATTTATCAACAAAGGGTAGGGCAGGGTAGGGAAGGGTAGAGAAGGGTAGGGCTGGGTAGGGAAGGGTAACGCGGGGTAGGGAAGGGTAGGAAAGGGTAGGGCGGGTAGGGAAGGGTGGGGCAGGATAGGGCAAGGTAGGGCGGGGATTTGATATGGTTCTGATTCTACATCTGCAACAAACATTTTAATGTCAATATGATAGACATTTCTAAAGAGTAAGATGCTAAAATATATATATTATATAATATAATCCCCTTATGAGAGGACCTGACCCTTAATTTTAACAATTTAAATTTCCCTTTACCCAAGGATGCTTGGTATGAAGTTTGGTTAAAATTGGCCCAATGGTTCTTGAGAAGAAGTCGAAAATGTGAAAAGTTTACAGACGGATAGACAGACAGATGGACGGACTGGGACAGACAAAATGTGATCAGAAAAACTCACTTGAGCCTTCGGCTCAGGTGGGCTAAGAACTTTAAAGTGACAAAAATATGAAAATACTCATTATATAATGATATAATTCATATATACTCTGAAAAATAAAGACACATTCTAAAACTTTCCATCTCGTTTTATTTCATCTTCAATGCAAGATTGTTATAAAATAATGTTTCTTTTCTCATCCCACAAGTAGGCCTGTTCTGTAGAAAAAAAGAAAACACATCATATTAATTTTAAAAAAAATGTAAATTTTATGTCTAATAAATTGACTGGCATGCATAAACAGGTCGAGACCACTAGATTTTCTGACGTCAGAATAAATTTGCATGTAAATTAGCTATCTGTTTACTTTACCCACTGATGAATGAGTCGCAATGCATTGTGGGCTACTACAAGTACTCAGATGTGTTGAAAATAAAGGCCAACTTGAATTGTCCCTTGGAAACTTATTTTCAATTCTTTTTTGGGATTTATGGAAGAAATATATAAAATGATGTATAATCTTTCATTTCTATGCTCACGTTTACAAAATTTGCTTTATGAAGCCTTGTATATCAATTTATAATACATCGGCCTACACTATTGTTCGAAGAGACGTACTTGTAGGTGCTATCGTGTCGATATATAAAGCATTGAGTTTTTTTTCACGTGATATACGTCTACATAGTTTTAGACAGCAGTACAAGGTGCGCTTTTATTATTTAACCCCTAAATATTATCATAAAGATTTTAATGTACATGCAAACATCAAAGCGTTTGCACATTACTCGAACTTTTGAATCAACTATTAATCATATAAAACAACTCCAATATTAAATGTGAGCATGGAGCAATGTCTTGGGAATGTACTCTTTCAATTTCGGACTTAAAAAGTGACAAAGAAGCTCTACGGTTTTTCCGGTGACGAAGTGAATATTATTCAGAAATCGACGAAAACCACGTGTCGCCATTGAATCGTAAACACGTAGTAGAGTGTCATGCTTTCGGACTCATTCACTTGATTGGCGAACGAGTGTGACGAAGATATCGTCACGTGTTGAAAATTGCCTTCCATATAAGGTAGTGGTCTCGACCTGATAAAGAGCATAAAACATTTTTTTTTTCAAATCCATACAATAATTTGTCATGAAACCTCATTAATACGGTTGGAAGGTAAATAAGGTAAATGAATTAGATAAACAAGATGTGTTTGTGTAACACTATGTCCTCGACAGCCACGTAGCATTGTTTTTGAAAGTGGGGGGGGGGGGGCGGGCAGCCAGAGAAAAACTTTGTTTGACTTAGCTGAAACACTTGACAAGCAAAAAAGGTAAATTGCACAAACTCGAAATTCTATTTCGGAGGGGGGGGGGGTGGAATCCAACTTTTTTCATTGCCAAGTTCTTTCAGTACCAATTTTTGCCAACCAACCTTTCAATGAACATTTCTAATAGTAAAAGTAATGTTGGCAAAAAAAAGGGGGGGGGTGCAGACCCCCTCCCCCTCCTGTTGCTACGTGCCAGCTCGATGTTAACACAATTCTGGAGTGGGACGTAGACTGAAGGGGTTTTGAGGAATTTGTTCACCCAGTAGGTGCTGGCATGAAAAAGATTCATCTCTGATCGATGGCCCTGAGTGCCGAGTATAGGACAAAATTTGCAGCAATTGTGGCGTCTCCATATGAGTGACAAATTTTCCAGAGAGACGTTAAACAATATACAACCAATAATCAATTTCAAACACATTCTATTTCTACGAAATGCAAAATGGGTTTTTGCTTCGTGAATATGATACATGTATTGTAATTGAAACCGATCATACGTTTTAGCGAACACTCAAGCTTTTTCAAATCAATAGATATACATGATATACTAGTATATTGTAAATAATATTAATGTGAAATAAAACGTTACTCAATTTCGCAGATGAATCCCGCTTTGACAGTACATGTATTGTCATCCCAGTGGAAATTAAACCCCGTAAAGAACATAGCACAGTCCTGATTACTGAGGTTGTCTGGCTGGTGTACAGGTGACCGTGCCCAGTCATAAAATGATGCAACACTCCCTGTGGATGGCCACACCCACTCTCCTTCTTTGGCAATGTCAGAAAGTCCTATCCAGTATCCATCTGCAATAAAATTGTAATAATAACGAACAGTGAACCTTATAGAAAATCAAAGTACTGAATCGCGGTGACGTCTTCAAGTAGAATGTGAAATTCATCCCCATGTAACTGGCACATACAAAAATTGAAATCTAGGAGAATCACTAGAAAGAAAAAAAGTGAGCATCACCGCAATGCATTTTGTAACTTATTTGATCTATAAAAACTGAATTAGTTATCCTTAAGTACCCGTCACCATAAGCAGAAAACACCTCGCATTTCTATTCAAATTATATTTTGATTTGTTTCTTGTTACACAGTAATAAAGATGAACATTATATCCAATGATATAAACAAAAAAGTGAAGGCACCAGGCTTATATAAAACCGCTAAATAGAACGTGTATCCTGCCAGCGTCATTTTGTCCGATGCATCTTAACTCCCTCACCAGGGTCCTCTACAATATTCCAACACACATGTATTAAAGACACCCACCACACACACACAAACTCACACACCTTAGTTAAACTTTTCATACCTTTTTCTTAAATTTTAATTTAAAATTTTATTTCAATAAATGTATAATCAGAGGACTATTGTAGGAAATTAGGCTGGACTGAGGACATCGGCCTGGATAATTCAGTGGTTAGAGCACCTGACTAGAGATACAGGGGTCCCGGGTTCGATTCCCGGTCCAGCCATATGTTTTCAATATATATGTATTTATGAATTTTCAATGTATGTTTACTCATTCCTCCTTTCCATACTACACTACACTTTCTTAGAGAACTGATAAAAATTAAGGTTTTAATATTTATAATCAATCTTGCACATGTTGCAAGTGCTATTGTTTACATATTAGCAACATATCTCTGATTTGATTCTTGCCCTCTACTTAAGGTATCATTTTTTAACAATAAGAGTACTGAATTGTCCAGAAGAGCGGTGATCAATAAGAAAATGCAAATCGTAGTGATCACAGGGTTCCGCCATTGAAGCTATAGAGCAGCTATCGAGGCTGACTTACGTCACCTCGAAAAAATCTATAAATAAAAGTCTGTAAACAGGGCAAAACACGCCCCCTGATATTCTCGAGATAGAATCGGGTACCTACAGGATGGGTAAGCATCCCCTTTTTGACCAGCTATAGATGCTCTGAGCACTCTGTGGTAAGTTATAGAGACAGAGTAATGATTTTTATAAGCGTGTTGTTGAACACCGGGTATTCATTCATTCTCTTTAATTTTTTCTCCTCACAGGATTACCCCCCCCCCCCCTTGAAAAAGCATTGTAAAACACCCTGCTTTCCAATGTAAGTCGAAGAAAATCGTAATTTCTATATAATCTTTACAAAAAATAGAATTTAGATATTTGTTACAATTAAAGTTTTTTTCAATGAAATTTTTGACGGTTTTTAGCCAGAGGCGTAGTCACAAACTTAAAAGTGGGGGGGCTCAAGTCCAGAAATTCTTTGACAAGCAAAAAAATAAAAAAAAAAAAAAAAAACACTTAAAAGTGGGGGGGCTCAAGTCCAGAAATTCTTTGACAAGCAAAAACAAAAAAAAAAAAGTGGGGGGGGGGGCTCAAGTCCAGAAATTCTTTGTAAAGCAAAAAAAAAAAAAAAAAAAACTTAAAAGTGGGGGGGCTCAAGTCCAGAAATTCTTTGTCAAGCAAAAAAAAAAAAAAAAAAAAAAAAAAAAAAAAAAAAAACAATTTCCCAAAACCGAAAAACCAATTTCGGGGGGGGGGGGGGGGGGGGGGGGTAGTGGCCAACTTTTTTTTTCAAAGGCAAGTTATTTTCAATTTTAATTTTTCTACACAATTTTATTATGCAACTATGTATTAATATGATTTCAAATTAGCTGTGATTTTGTTCTTCATTAAAAAGTGGGGGGGGCACAGACATACTCTTGCCCCCCCAGATCTGAAAGTGGGGGGGCTAGTGCCCCCGCTGCCCCCCCTGTGACTACGCCTATGTTAGCAATATATATCATATCACCGATTTCACGATTCAGTCTTTTAAACCCCAAACACACAAACATGCCATCAGCAGATTTTGACATCAAACATATGTACATACATGAACATTTTTTGAGAAAGATGAGATAGAGAGAATTTTCTTTAATACCAAATACACGTAGCATTTCATTGCAACTGCTCCAATGAAGTTGAATATGACATATAAAGAGTGGTTTGCCTTTTTAGTAAACCTACAATCTCATGTAAACCTAAGGTAGAATCTCAACATCAACATCCATTTTACTGTAACCTACAAGATGGTCGAAAACATCTTGTTTGAGTGGAACGTTTTATGGGCCACTTTTGTAGTTTTCGTGGTATGAAGAGACCCACAATTTATGTCCTCCATGAAATGTAATTTTTCACATACGTAACTATACTAAGTGATTCTTAATCCACGATTAAATCCCCACGAACCCATATTTTTCTGCAAACCACAATTTGACCCCGCGAAAAAATGTGATATTTGAAGATAAAGAGAAGTAAGCATACTTTGTGGATGGGTTCCAACGATATGTGAGCGGAGAAAGTTATTTTCGTCGGCTGTCTCAATTTCCACCAACTTCGAACCATGTTGTTGGCAAATGGACTGGTACAACATGCAAAGTAAATATTTTCAAATTCATAAATTATATGCAGCGACAGACAAGAAAGAAATTTTTTTATTACCATATACAATGTAGTGTAAAATCTTTTTTACTGAATTGCATGGGCATGGCACGTAGTTCACTTGAGACATTTTCCATGTTTTACTGGATTTAAAGAACATGTAGAATGACAATGAGGTCGAGACAAGTGTGAGCTTGACCATTGATGTCGGAACTAGCAAATTGAAGGTGGCTAAGGGAATTCGAAGGGTGTTTTTTTTAAGTATTTGGTGTGTCTAAAAAACAACCGGTAAAAAATCTGATTCATAAATGTAATATGCATGATTTATTTTTTGTAACTCATTTTACCCGGGATTATTCTGATATGAGCTATAGAAATGATTTTTAAGAAGAATACTTTAGATAACTACATAATTTTTATACACATAAATATTTTTAATAATGATTACGTAAAATCTAAGTATGTTCTATATAGTATGTTACTGGCCTTTGTAAATGACTATGAACAATCTTTTCTCATAAGTCTTCAAATGTTTTGTATTCCACAATATTGGAATTTTTTTTAATCTAAATGAAGTGACTATTTCTTATAAAACGGCTGATTAAGTTGGAATGTTGGATTCATTAAGGTTCATTTCTCTACTCATTCGTATTAAATATTTTTTATTCTTATGAATTTCCTTAGGAAACGTGTTTGCAAAGTAAAATATAAACAATTATAGAATAACTTTTGGAGGCAAAATTTGACAAAAATATACTTCAACTTGACAAAGAACCGCGAACGGTAGTATTGTTCTCCCGCCTACCTCCAAGTCAATTTTCAAAAGTTAACATATTCGATGATTTTTTTTCACTTTTTATAGATAATCATATGGACTTTCATAAAACATTACTTTTTTGCGAAAACAAAGAGAGATGACTCTAAAATTTTGGTAAAACTTGTGTTTTTCACTTTAGAAATCAATGGAAAACGGAAAATATTTTTAAAACATCTTTCCCCCCCGTGTCACAAAAATTCCTTTTTACAGGTAATATGGAATGTTATTTCACAAATTCATACCAAAGCTTTTTGTGTGACACAGGGGGGGGGGGGGGAACATATGTTTATTGACAAAAAACGATAAAAATTCTTATATTCTACCAATTTCAAAGCGATATACAACTGAAACATTATATTTTATTGAATTATTTATGTTTTATTTATTTGCCTAAAACATAAGAAAAGATATAAGGAATATATAATCATATCCAGGACTATTTCAAAATACGGTGATGCTTGAAACTCCGATTTCAATGGAAAATATCGTCTACCCCCCTTTTTTCAAGAGCTGGATTTATGGATAATTTACTGTTAAGCGCTGGTATTAGGACGATTTATCAATTACCATTAAACTGTTCTTTGTATTTAACAAAAATTTTATGGTCAAATTGCTATTCATATTGAATTAATTGGTTCCAAAACGTAGGCGGGAATCGAGAGTTAGCGTGCGTGTTTCTTTAGGAATAATAAGCATTTTTGTCAATAAGAGTTATCTCTCTTTAAATTATCAATAAACCTTAAATGCTAAAAATACAATTACAATGTATACCTTAGCTTTCATGAAGTCCCCAGGAACATCTTTTATAAACAGATAGCAGGAAAAGCCATGCTTAGCCCAGTGCTGGGGACAGTCCTGTGTCCATACGTCTAAAATTGAATTAAAAAAAGATATTAAAAAAAAATAATTCTTATTTCAGAATAATTCAAGTTACGTTTGATTTAAAGACACTCAAATCTATATTGCGTCCAATAAACAATAATATAGTTTAATATTGATACATGTGGTTTTATTAGAACCATTTCACTCTTAGTTTGGACTTTCAGTAAGGCGTGGCATTCTCGAAGCTATGTAATTACCGCCACTCAAAAGGCGAATAGATTCTCATTGGTTCAGAAATTAATTACATCAGGAACTTTAAATTGTTGTTGACAATGATGAGACGACTTAAGCTCCACCTCTGTGCAGGATGAGACAATGTAATTGGTAATTCGATACACTAATTGGCATTTGCCCGAATTTCTATCCCATTGTATATTTCAACAGTGAAGGAAAGTTGTGTAAATTTTAGAAGCTAAGAAAATTATGTAACGTCGAGAATGCCACGCCCTACTGAAAGTCCAAACTAAGTGTGAAATCGTTCTACGTCCTCAAACAAGTAAAAATCAAACGTAAAATTCTGTTGATAATCCTAGTTATACCCCCCGCTTGAAAAGCGGGAGGGTATGTCCGTCTAGCTGTACGTCCGTCTGTCCGTCCATCCGTCCGTCTGTTACACTTTGGGATACCCATCTCTTATTCGCAACTCCTCTCAAACCACTGAATGAGATTTGAGGAAACTTTCACAGAATCTTTATTACACATTGTCATTGTGTAACTCTTATTTTTCTTTTTGATCCGAAACATTTTTTTGGGTTTCCATAGCAAAACATATAGACTGCCATTATATTAATATGGGAGGCGGGGGTATCATTTATTGAGCACCTTGCTCACAGTACCCCAAGTATTTATGATTAAAATCTTAATTATTAACTTGTCTAAATTAAACTAATTTCTTTTTACAGCAATACAAAAAGTGAATAGCAGTTCTTAACCTAACTATATATTAGACATTTTAAGCAACGTATTAACGATTCTATACATACCTTTAAGGCAGCAAATAAAAATAAAAACAAGGAAACTGTTACAATGCATTTCTCCAGTTTTAGCTTTTTCAAGTTCTTATCAGTGTGCATGCAGTATTATGCAATCCAGCTATTCTAAACTGATATGTACATTTTGGACATAATTTTATCATAAAGTTCAAGGGTCAGACCGATATTCTTTCCATCTGTTTGATATGTATAATTTCAATATGAAATATTGCTGAATTGGCGTTAGACAAAGATCAATTAATAACTAGTGCTAATTGTAACGGGGACCGTTACAGATGTTCCCCAAACGCTCCCCAACTCCTTTTAGGTGCCATATTCCCTGTAAGCTTCATTAAATAAGACAAACTCTGTGCATTTTTGACTTTAACAACGTTTTCTCAGAAGGATACCAATTACATGTATATTCAAATTTTAGCCTTGCACCCGTGCGCATGTGAATGCATGTGCGTTATGATCATATCATCTTGTCTACACTTTCTACAAATTTTAATATACAATGTATTAAAGCATTCAGTCCAAAAGTATGAAAAATCACTCTTTCAAGTGTATTTTTGATTTCACTCGTTCCAAATGCACGCACGTGCGTGCACGTGCATGGTGACCATACCTTCTTGTAGGAGTCCCTTATATCTATCTATATTCTAAATCCCATCTTGTTTGGTTGAAAAACAAGGGATTTATAGCCATTTCAAGTTTCAGCCAATCAGATTGCAGCACACGTGCATGCGCGTGATTTGATGATTTTTTTTTCTATATCGTGTTGTAAGATATCCTAATGCATGACTATGTTTTTATTTTCAAAGCATTTTGTTAAAAATCAAAGGAGATATAGCCATTTAAAGTTTCAGCCAATCAGATTGCAGCACGCTGGCATGCGCATGCTTTCATGAAAATTCTTATATATCATGCTGTAGATCTTCATAATGTAGGTCTATGTACAAAATTTTAAAGGATTATGACAAGAAACAAGAAAGATATTGAGACTTTAGTTTCAGCCAATCAGAGCGAAGCGCACGTGCATGCGCGTGAGATCTTACGTTTTTGACCATGTCATTTTGTCTATGCTTCTTATATATACTTATAATATGAGTTTCAAAGCATTTCATCAATAATTTAAATAGTTACGTCTGTATCAATTATATTGGACATTTCTCGTGTTGCACGTGCGAGCTCTTGCAAGCACATGTGCATGCACATGCTTTCATGATATATCTTATATTACAGGCTGTAGATCTCCCTAATGTATGATTATGTTCAAAATTTCAAATGATTTTATCAAAAAACAAAAACGATATTGAGACTTTAGTTTCAGCCAATCAGAGCGAAGCGCACGTGCATGCGCGTGCGATCTGGCTATTTTGACCATGTCATCTTGTGCATACTACTAATATATCCTTACATTATAAGTTTCAAAACATTTCGTCACAAAATAGAAAAGATACGGTTATATCCATTATATATTGGTCATTTTAAGTTTTGCACGTGCGCGCTCTTGCAAGCACGTGCGCGCAAAATGACCTTGATTCCGCAAATCTACATAACATGCCTACTTACCCTAAAAAGGTTTCACCTAAGTCGGATGTGTAGTTTACAAGATCACTCGCGTACAAAATTTTCCCAGGAAGAAAAATAATAATAAGAATAAGAATAATAATAATAAGAAACAGAGTAAAAACAATATGTTCCCCAACTTCGTTTGGGGAACATAATTACATTTCCCATGTGTTTGTCTGAAAAAAAAAATTACAAATAGTACAGATACTTTATTGTTACATAAATCTACGTGTTCATCGACGGGTGCTGTTAGAAAAATCGTGTGTAATCGGGACAAATAGAGAAAGAAGCGGGACTTGTAGCACGTGAATTTGCTGAATCAAGGGCATATAAATATAAGGATTCCGAATAACTATCAGATTTTTATTTCAAGAAATGATCAATTGCGGAATAACTTTATGCATAAACGCCTGGGGTAAAAATTTCCACTTTTAATTAGACCTTTCTGAGAACTTCAAAGAACCTTGAAGCATATTGAGAAGTATATAATGAAAATTGTTGCATGAAAAGATTCAATTTTCAAGATTCATTTTGAGACATTTTGAAATAAATTATGAATTCAAGAGTTGTCCTTCCTGGTTGAGAATCCCTTAAAGTCAATAAGTTCTGTTAAGTTCAATATAGTTCGTAAGTTCTATGGTCGATGCAATGACATTGTCAGCATATACAATTTAACATTGGATTTGTTACTGCCGTTTTTATACTAATTCTTAATCCTTTATTTATATACTGAATTGACGACGGATTTTCCCGTTATTTCCCGATCATGATAACGAGCACATGGCGGGTGTGACAGGTCAACAGGGGATGCTCACTCCTCCATGGCATCTGATCCACCCTGTATGTTTTGGAAGTCCGTGTTTTCTCTGCTCGTATTTTGTATTGTTTTATGGACTTTTGATCTTGAATATTGTTCGTTATCTCTATATTTTCCATTGAAAGAGAAAAATCTTGTTTATTTTTTGCACAGTTGATATTAGTCTGGTTAGATAATTTAAAGTACAAAATAAAAAAAAGTTATAGTAAGAATAGAGCTAGAGAAAGGAATAGAGAATATTTTAGAATTCAAAACAGTATACAAAGAAATGTCACAATGCCTTGCTGAGGGTATTAATATATATATTGAAAAAAACGAAAAACTTAAAACAGAACATGAATATGACAAAGTAAGATGTAAAAATGTAAGGTCTAAGACACAATGGGCAAACGAGTCTGACAGCTGGTGCACGAATTATTTTTTGAAAACTGGAGAAGAGCAGACAGGAGGCAAATACAATAAAAGAATTGGTAAGTGATTCAGGAGAAGTAAAGAAAGAATTACATTTTGTTTTGGAAATGCAATAGA